TGGGGAGTAAGCCGCAGTGACATGGCAAGAAGAATTATAGGCAAATGTGACGTACGGAGATCCCAGTCGGTACGGTTGGTAGAAACATACTTAGCGAGCATGTCTGTAAGAGTTCGATTTAGACGCTCCGTGAGTCCATTGGTTTGCGGGTGGTATGACGTAGTCAGCTTGTGTCTCGTTTGACAGGACTGCAAGCTGTCGGCTATGACCGCCGACAAAAAGGTGCGGCCACGGTCTATAAGCAGCTGCCGTGGGGCTGTGTTGCAAAATCACGTCCTTGAGGAGAAAGTCGGCGACATCTGTGGTGCGGCTTGTTGGAAGAAGAAGAGCTCATGTGATGGCACAACACGTGGCGTAGTCGGTGGCCACGACTATCCACTTGTTACCCAAGGAAGACAAGGGGAAAGGACCAATTAGGTCCAAGCCAACGTGTAAGAATGGTTCTGACAGAATGTTAAGTGGTTGAAAGCATCCGGCGGGAAGTGTCGATGGTGTTTTGCGGCGCTGGCATTTCTCGCAAGCCGCAACGTATCTTCTGAATGAGCGTGCAAGCCCTGGCCAAAAGAAGCGCGGTGTATTCGGTCATAACTGCGTGACACACCAAGGTGACCAGCAATTGGAAGGTCATGAAGTTCATGTAGAACTTCCGAGCGAAGATGTTTCGGAATGACAAGCAGCAGGGCCAGTCTATCCGGCTCAAAACTTTGGCGGTATAACACATCATCGTGGAGCACGAATGAACGATGGGACTGATTGGAAGATGGTGATTCTAGGCGCTCAATAATAGCACGCAAAGATGCATCATGGCCCTGCTCTTCACCAGTGGATGTCATTTGTCAAAGGAAAAAGACGCAAGGCTCGGTGTCGGTGTCAGGCATAGGGCTCGACTCAGCAACCGGGTAGCAGGACAGGCAGCCTGCGTCCTGATGTTGGCGTCCGGACTTGTAAGTCACCGTGTAGGTATACTCTTGCAGTCGCAGAGCCCAGCGCCCGAGCCGGCCAGTAGGATCCTTCAGTGACGAAAGCCAACATAGCGCATGGTGGTCCGTTATTACAGAGAAATTCGTGCCATATAAATATGGGCGGAACTTCGTGACTGCCCAAACAAGAGCAAGACATTCACGCTATGTAATTGAATAGTTGCGCTCGGCAGCTGTGAGAAGGCGGCTAGTGTAGGGGATAACTCGGTCGTGTCCCCGCTGGTGTTGGGCTAGGACGGCTCCAATCCCGCGACCCCTCGCATCGGTTCGGACTTCTGTCGGAGCGGACGGGTCAAAGTGGGCCAATATAGGTGGAGTCGTGAGGAGGGTGATGAGGTGAGAAAAAGCGGCAGCTAGAGCAGAACCCCATGTAAAAGTCACGTCTTTCTTCAGAAGGTCGGTGAGTAGTCGAGTAATCGTTGTAAAATCTTTCACGAACCTTCTAAAATAGGAACAAAGTTCCACAAAGCTCCGGACGTCCTTGACAAACTGGAGTACAGGAGAGCTCGTGACGGCACGAATTTTCTCCGGGTCAGGCTGCACACCTGATGCATCGACAAGATAGCCCAACACCATAATCTGCTGGTGGCCGAAGTGCTATTTCGATGAGTTTAGTTGAAGGCCAGCAGGGCGGAAGATGTCGAGAACCGCTGACAAACACTGGAGGTGTGTCTCAAATGTAGGCAAATATACAAGGACATCATCCAGGTAGCACAGGCATGTTGACTACTTGAACCCTTGTAATAGCGAGTCCATCATATGCTCAAACGTGGCTGGGGCGTTGCATAGCCCAAACGGCATCACCTTGAATTGGTATAGGCCGTAGGAAGTTACAAACGCAGTCTTTTCTTGGTCTTTCTCGTTCACCGCAATCTGCCGATAGCCAGAACATAGGTCAATTGAAGAAAAGTATCGCGCGCCATAAAGACAATCGAGGGCGTCATCGATTTGGGGCAAAGGATAAATGTCCTTTTTCGTGATTCGATTAAGATGGTGGTAATTACGAAGTGCCAAGTGTCATCTTTCGTTTTAACGAGCCCAACAGGAAATGCCCAAGGGCTCAAGGAGGGTTCAATAATTCCTTTGGCTAGCATCTTGTTGACTTCTTCTTGTATTAAGTTACGCTCTGTGGCAGACACCCGGTGTGGTCGGTGGTGATCGGGAGGAGAATCAGCAGTATTATTGCGGTGCTTCACGAGGGAAGTCTGACCGAGTGGACTGCTATTGGTGTCAAATATGTCGCGGCAGGAAGCCAGAAGGCGGAATAGGGCGTCGGATTGCTCAGGTCTGAGTTTCGGGTCGATCATAGGGCGCAAGGCTGTATTGAGAGATGTGACATCCTGCGGCCGACATGGAAGATCGGAGCATGCGTCTGCCGCAAAAGCGGTGACGTGGGCGTCTATTAAGGGTCGGAGCGTGGCGACTGAAATTTCGTGTGGTAGTACTTGCTGCGTGAAACCGAAATTGATAATGGGCAGACATGTTCAGTTAGAGGCCATGGTTACAACGAAATGTGGCACAGTGATGTCGCGCACCAGGAGAACATCAGGAATAGGCGTGACAACATAATCATTGTCAACAACGGGTAAACTTGTTGCCAATTCAATGAATTTGAGGGCTTTTGGTGGTATCCGACTGAAGTCTGTGGTACAGAGGCTTTTCGGCAGCTCGGGGCGAGAATCTGGAAGAAGAGGAAGTTCTAAACAGAGAGTGCCGGCGGAACAGTCGATCAGGGCAGAATGCGTCGATAAGAAGTCCATCCCGAAGATGAGGTCATGAGGGCAATTGTCGAGCACGGTAAATAAAACAGGAACATGGCAGCTGGCAAGGCTAATACGAGCGGTACACATTCCAATGACGGCAGTTCCACCAACGGTGACACAGACGGCTTGTGGCGCGGCAGGCATGAGTACTTTTTTGAGGCGGTGACAGAGACGAGCACTCATTATAGACACCTGAGCTCCAGTGTCAACTAAAGCTGTCAAAGAAAGACCGTCCACATGCACTTCCAGCAAGTTCTTATTAGTAGGGAGCGTCGACGGAGGATTAGGGTAAATTGCACTTGATGCAGCAATATACTCTTAAACCCACACGATGCTTGCTATAGCCTTGAAATTTGATGGCACCACCCCACCAAGAGTGTCAGCTTGTGCACAGCTGACACTCGCAGCATGTTGCTCAACAACCAAGTAGCAACTGTGACAGTCGTTAATTTACACTCATCCTGTGGATACACGCGTCTTCTTTTCTAGCACCCTTCTTGGTTTGTTTAGGCAGCACGCTTCCAGTGTCAAGCTGTGACAGTCATTGATCAGCACTCGTCCCGTGTGGTTTCTTTTTGTGCGTCCTCCGTGCTTGAGCTGCACTCTGCATAAATGAGGTTGCTTGCCCTTCTTCTTGTGACATTCTAATTTCTTGCTATCACATTCACTGCTTCACCCTCACCACAAACTAACTTTTTTTTCACATACACATTTGCAAAATGAAATCATGCACGCCCACGCCGCAATACTGCTTTAAAAATGGGGAGTTTGACAGGTTGACACACCGATGTACCACATTTAGAAGGTCGTGACGTCGATGTGAGAGTGCACTGCTGAGAAAATTAAAGGATTTTCAAGAATGGCAGAAAATTCCAGAACTTTCAAGGACCTTGAAAATGCATTTTTCAAATTCAAGGGTTTTCAAGAATTTTAAGAACTTGTACGAACCCTAGAAAAGAAGATGAAATGATAACTTGCCGTGGGCAAGGACCGAATCTGAGACCTTCAAAGAAAGCGTCTGTCCTCCGAGCTGCCATGGCGGTTATCTTTTCGTCCACTTTATGGGGTATATATGTGCATTTAAACGTGGAAGCGTCCGTCAGTGCCGCCAGTAGCCGTGACAGTGAGTGTGGAATGCTCTCTCCTGTGCCTGTTTCATTGCATGTGAACGAATTAGGTGCTGGCAGCTGACCAATAATGCTTCCACATTTAAATGCACACATAAACCCCATAAAGTTAATGAGGAAATGGCTGCCGTGATAGCTCAGTTGACAGAGCATCGAACGCGTCATTTAAAGGTTGTAGGTTTGGTCCCTGCCCACGGCAAGTTATCTTTTCATCCACTTCTCTTTCTTCACGTTTACATTACATTTATTCCTAATAAAATCCCCTATACTTTCCTTGTCAGTGTTGTGTGTTAGTTCTCATTAATACGGTGTCCAATAAAAAAAGCATGAGCCCTTAAAATTTCCTCTATCGTAGACTATGTAGCATGAGACATGCCCTAGAACCCATTTTATAGGAATGTGCACATATACAGGATGAACATGCAGTCTCCTCAGAAAAGACTCCCGCACCACCCCGCACCAAGGTCTCCCGCACCAAGGTCTCCCGACAAGGTCTCCCGCACCACCCCTGGTGCGGCTTCTGTCCAGACCTTAACCACAGGATTCATAAGGCTGTTCAATCACTCACTGTCATGCAGTAAGGTCGGAGGCCGTGACTGAGCACTGCATGACAGTCGATTTGTTGTGGCACAGCTATACATATATTTTTTTAAACCTCCTTTCCTTTGATACTGACTTTCTTTTGACAATCCAGTTTAATAACAAACTTCATAATGTCTGTTGACATCCATCAAAAGTTTGTGCTTTTTAAGGTATAGTAACTAGCACACATAATCGTAGTGTGTTGTTGCATGATTGATATGTGGGGTTTAACGTCCAAAAACCACCATATGATTATGAGAGACGCCGTAGTGGAGGGCTCCGGAAATTTAGACCACCTGGGGTTCTTTAACGTGCGCCCAAATCTGAGCACACGGGCCTACAACATTTCCGCCTCCATCGAAAATGCAGCCGCCGCAGCCGGGATTCGATCCCACGACCTGCGGGTCAGCAGCCGAGTACCTTAGCCACTAGACCACCGCGGCGGGGCCGTGTGCTGTTGCTGTTGCATGGTACAGTATGCTTGATGATTAGAACATGTCACACAAGTAGCTAAAAAATTAGAAAAAAAGAAAGAAAAATACACTCACCAAAGGCGTGCATTGACTTGAGAGCTTCACTGACAGTAACCATGAGCCGAAGTCGACCAATAGACACTGGGCTAACTACTATCTTCAACGGAACTTCAGGCTCAGTCTTTTTTACCATCTGAAACATCATAGAATTTTGTCCGGATAACCATTCAGCAAGTACTGGTACTGGGCGTACCGTTAAACCTTTTATAAAAGGCATGCTCCAGACAGAAATTCTTGTCTTGTATGATACGTCTGTTATAAGCAAGGTACCTTGTATGCATTTTCTTATCAGCCCATATTTTACTGTAGGCACACTGGTGTCTCTTATATCCATTATTTTCTTATATTAGTGTATCTTATGACGGGTTTCGACTGTGTGTAAAACTTGCTCAAGCTAATCTCAGTCATATGTACATCTACTGTTCGGCACATGTTTGAAGGGACATTAAATAGAAACAATGACTGTGTTCAGATTGATAACTGCACTCTGAGAACTCTTATTCCACCAATTTCACTTTACCATACGTGAAAAATCACTTTTTGTTTTGGTGCCCTTTTAACAGGTGCAAAATATGTGCTAACTCTTTGAGCCAAGACTGATTCAATATGCATCCAATTTAAAGAGCATTATTCCAAGACGCACAATATTCTATTGCAACAAGAAGACCGTCAAAATACATTAATTTCTGTTTAATAGTAATTAATTCCAATTAAATTGTAATATACACCCCCTCACCCTGAAGGCATTAGTGCTCATTTTTTTAAATACACAGAATCAATTGTCAGGCTGAATATATAGTGCAATTTGGTCTTCAGCTATACTATTTATTTCAAATGAACAAAAGTTGTACTTCTGACGTGGCTTGCTGAAAGCCGTACATCAAACAAGTAACTGAATGTGGTAATATACCTTCAGCAAAGTGATCATATACAGCAATACAAAACGAAATGAAGTTAATCCAAGATTAGTAATTACATAGACAATTCAATTATCCTCAGTTCCCTAAATTTTGCTCTTTCTTAATGTAGACCAACTAGCAAAAACAATTTGCATATACAAATGTGGACAAAGTGTCTGAAAGGGCTAAACATGTTACTGCATATGACAGATGGTAGTGTAAGGCTGCACAATAGTATGCCACTAGCTTTGTAGCAAATTTGGAGGTACACTGGTCAAAAATGAAACAAATGAAGGAAGAACAGGACCAAAGGTGTACTTACAATGTCAAATATATATATATATATGTGTGTGTGTGTGTGTGTGTGTGTGTGTGTGTGTGTGTGTGTGTGTGTGTGTGTGTGTGTGTGTGTGTGTGCGTGCGTGCGTGCGTGCGTGCATGCGTGCGTGCGTGCGTGTGTGTGTGTGTGTGTGTGTGTGTGTGTGTGTGTGACGCTATGATGAGTGGCAGATAATGAGTTCCATTCTCTTCTTCTCCCTCATCCTCTGCCATCAGTCACTGCCTTCCAACGTCATATATATATATATATATATATATATATATATATATATATATTGTGAAGAAGAAGACGTGCCTGCGGCGAGCAGCATCGCCAACGCCCGGCTCTCTCGGCTCGTGCTTCAGTTCGCTGCTGTGCTGATCTTTGCTGGACGGTTCTTCATGCTGTCTTGCCGTTGTCGTTATCGAATAATAAACCTCGTCACATTTGGTGGAGGTGCTGTTTATCCCCGTCGCTACACCCTGGAACTGCGAAGCCGCACGCTACCGCTCGTCATGACTGACAATGCCAACCCATCGGCATCGTCACCCCATTTCAACTGCCCTGGCCATCCTAGGCTACGGGACCCGAAGGTCTTCAGCGGTGCGGATGGGACCGACGTGGAAGACTGGCTTGAGCACTACGAGCTGGTGAGCGCCAATAATAAGTGGGATGAAGCCAACAAGCTCAGCCATGTGATATTTTATCTCACCGGCGTCGCAGAATTGTGGTTTAACAACCACAAACACAACATCCCCACATGGAGCGTCTTCAAGACGTTATGTGCTGAAGTGTTTGGTCGGCCGGCTGTCCGCAAGCAGCGGGCAGAACAGCGCTTGCGCGTTCGCTCTCAGCAGACTGGCGAAAATTTCACCAGCTATATTGAGGATGTCGTCGACCTTTGTCGACGCGCGAATGATACCATGTCTGAGTCGGACAAGGTCAAACACATCCTGAAGGGCATCGACGATGGTGCATTTCAAATGCTCTTGGCTAGAAATCCGAGCACAGTTTCTGAAGTCGTCAGCTTATGTGAGAGCTACGACGAGTTGAAGAAGCAACGCTCTCTGACTCGACAACCTCAGCGTGATGGTGAGTCGCTGTCCAGTTTCGACACCATGCCTGACAATTCACCATTGCTTCAGCAAGTCCGAGCCTTCGTCCGTGAGGAAGTCGCCCGCCAACTTTCTCTAGTGCCTTTTGCTCACGAGACCACCACCCGTCTACCCGCCTCGCTTCGCACTGCTATATCGGAAGAGGTTGCACAAGCTGTTCCCCTTGCGCACTACGAGCCGCCTTTATCTAGCAGTGTCCACTGCTCGCGTGTCGCACAGCCGATAGGTGCCCCTGTCGCCTATCCGCCAGCGATTCAGCCTGTGGCCGCTCCCCTAACGTATGCAGCGCAGCCTGTGGCTCCTCCTGTCGCCTGTTTGCAAGAGATGCAGCCCGTAGCCGCCCCGCTCACATATGCAGACGCTGTGCGTAGGCTTCCGCAACCGCCCTACACCACGCACTCACAGCGCGCACACCCGGCTGCTTATACTACACCTTGGGCGGCACCACCAGTCGCCAATCCAAGGAGGATGCCCGATAACCGACCGATTTGCTACGCCTGCTTCACTCCGGGACACGTTGCCTGCTACTGCCGCCGTCGACCTCCGAACAGGAAAACTAAGCACCGCAGTTCAAGAGGCAAGAACTGCGCCGTTTTCGAACTGTCTAAGCGCTCGCCCCTCTCCTGCTAACGTGGTCGCAATAACTGTTGAAGGTTATTGTACTTTCGCCCTTGTGGACACCGGCGCAGCTGTTTCTGTTATTGCCGTTAATCTCTGCCGTTTATTGCGCAAAGTCACGACGCCGCTTTCGGGACTGTCGCTCCACACCGCAAGCGCACAGCAAGTAACGCCTCTCGCAGCCTGCACTGCAAGAGTGTCCATCGAAGGCAATCTTTACATCGTGGAATTTATTGTTCTCGCTGTCTGTTCGCATGACGTCATCCTCGGGTGGGACTTCCTATCCCGCCATACTGCCGTCATCAACTGCGCTCGCGCCGAAGTTGAGTTTTCACCCTTGTGTGATGTCCCATTACTTCACGCTCTTCATCAGCCGGCGAAGTTGCTCGTTCATGAAGATACCGATATTCGACCTGGAAATTTCGCCCTTGTTCCCGTTTCATGCAACGACTACACTGACGCTACATGCCTTTTTATGCCTTCCGATATATTCAAGAGTCGTCGAGCTCTGCCGCTGCCTTTCACAACAATTAACCTTGCCGCCGGAAGAAGCAATATGTTCGTAAGCAATCCGCTTTCCACACCTGTCACTTTGCTTGCGGGGGTATGCCTCGGCCGCGTGCAGGATCTCGACCCTTCGGCTTTGGTTGATGTCCCGGATGACTACTGCGACCACCCAAAAGCACTGTCGGAACTCGGGGAGTCGTCCAATGATACGTTTTCCAGCGTCATCACCGACACTCTCACTCCCACCAAACATGCCGACCTGCTGGATCTTCTGTTAGAGTTCAGGAGTTCTTTCGATGTGTCGCAGCCTCAACTGGGCTGCACGTCACAAGTCAAACATCATGTTGACACCGGCCTACACCAGCCACTGCGTCAAAGACCATACTGTGTCTCCGCTGAAGAGCGCCGCGTCATCAACGATCAAGTCGAAGATATGCTTCGTAGAGACGTAATTCGATCATCTCACCGTCCCTGGGCGTCTCCTGTCGTCCTCGTGCGTAAGAAAGACGGATCCATCCGATTTTGCGTGGACTATTGTCGTTTGAATAAGATAATCCGCAAGAACGTCTATCCTTTGCCGCGCATTGATGACGCCATCAATACCCTTTACGGAGCGGAATTTTTCTCGTCGCTAGATTTGCGGTCTGGCTACTGGCAAGTCCCAATGGCTGAAGCCAATCGCCAAAAAACGGCATTTATTGCACTAGACGGACTATATGAGTTTAACGTCATGCCCTTTGGGCTTTGTAACGCGCCTGCCACGTTGAACTTCTTATGGATAATACGCTACATGGCCTCAAGTGGAATATGTGCCTCTGTTACCTCGACGATGTCGTGGTTTTCTCCCATGATTTTCCTACGCATCTCCTTCGCCTCAGGCAGGTTTTGACTTGTCTGACCAACGCTGGCCTGCAGCTTAACCTGAAAAAATGCCGCTTTGCTGCACGCGAGCTCGTCATACTAGGCCACATGGTGTCCAAACACGGCGTATTACCTGACCCAGCAAAACTTCGAGCAGTCGAAGAATTTCCCAAGCCGACGACCATGAAAGTACTTCGCAGTTTTATAGGCCTATGCTCGTATTTCCGGTGCTTTGTTCGCAATTTCGCATCTATCATGTCACCATTAACCCAGCTTCTTCGCGGTGACGTGAACCTCTCCTCCTTGTCCCCTGCATGTGATGTTGCCTTCACTACTCTACGCCGTCTGCTCACCTCCCCACCTATTCTTCGCCACTTCGACCCGACAGCTCCTACCGAAGTGCACACCGACGCCAGCGGTGTCGGGCTAGGCGCTGTCCTCGCTCAACGAAAGCCCGCCTATTCAGAATACGTTGTAGCCTACGCTAGCCGCACTCTGACGAAAGCCGAAGCTAATTACAGCGTGACAGAAAAAGAGTGTTTGGCTCTGGTGTGGGCACTTGAAAAATTCTGGCCATACTTATATGGCGGCCCGTTCGATCTAGTAACTGATCACCACGCGCTTTGCTGGCTCTCCACTTTGAAAGACCCTTCTGGCCGCCTTGCGCGATGGGCACTCCGCATCCAGGAGTACGACATTCGCGTCGTATACCGCTGCGGAAGCAAACACTCTGACGCTGATGCCCTGTCCCGCTCACCTTTATGACCAGATCGGACGTGCGGAAACACTCGCCCCGAGACCTTGTCATCACTAAATCTCGACTCGATTGCCACCGAACAACGTCGTGCCCCGTGGATCGCATCTCTTATTGAATATCTATCTGGCACGCCCAACCTTCCAGTATCTCGATGCCTCCGACGTCAAGCTTTCCACTTCGCCATCCGCGATCAACTTCTTCATCGACGTAACTACGCTCCCGATGGCCGCCGGTGGCTACTGGTCATTCCACGCACTTTACGATCACAAGTATGTGCCTCTCTTCACGACGATTCGCAATGTGGCCACATCGGGGTGTTCAAAACATATGAACGCCTTCGCAATCGCTATTACTGGCGCGGCATGTACAATTTTGTACGCAAATTTGTGCAGTGCTGTCCTGACTGCCAGCGACGCAAATGAACAGCGCCACGAGCGACTGGCGCATTGCAGCCACTTCCATGCCCTACCAAGCCATTTGATCGCGTCGGCGTTGACCTCTACGGCCCCCTTCCATTGACATCAAATGGTAATCGGTGGATTATAGTGGCAGTTGACCACCTGACACGCTACGCCAAAACGGCCGCTTTGCCGAGCACTACAGCTCAGGATGTCGCCTCTTTCATTTTACGTCACTTTATCCTTCGACATGGTCCACCTCGAGAGCTCTTTAGTGACAGAGGCCGCGCTTTCCTCTCCGAGGTCGTCGAAACTCTGCTTTCGGAATGCCACGTCATTCATCGGAAAACGACAGCATACCACCCGCAGACTAATGACTAACGGAACGGTTCAACCGCACGCTGGATGATATGCTCTCAATGTACGTGGCATCTGATCATAGCAACTGGGACCGTGTTCTCCCATACGTCACATTCGCGTATAACACCAGAGTTCAAACCACCACGGGATTCTCACCTTTCTTTCTTCTTTATGGACGCGAGCCTTCCCATACAATCGACACCCTACTACCCTACTGTCCTGATGCTTCTGAGTACCCACCTGTCTCCGATGCTTCTCGACAAGCCGAAGAGTGCCGCCAGCTCGCCCGTGCGTTCACCTCAAAAGAGCAGCAACGCCAGAAAGAACACCGTAGCACCACCCTTTCAGATCCCAGCTATCCCCCAGGGTCTCTTGTGTGGCTCGCCATTCCACACCAAACACCGGGACTCTCCTCGAAACTTGTCCCCCGGAACGAGGGGCCTTACATCGTTTTGGAGAAAACCTCTCCGGTTAATTTCCTAATTGAGCCAGTTTCCAGATCGGACGACATGCGCCGGCGCGCACGTCCATGTTTCCCGACTGAAACCATACCATGAGCCTCTGCCTGAAACTTCTTAAGTCACCAGGATGGCTCCTTTTTCAGCGGGGGCGATTGTGAAGAAGAAGACGTGCCTGCGGCGAACAGCATCGTCAACGCCCGGCTCTTTCGGCTCGTGCTTCGGCTCGCTGCTGTGCTGATCTCTGCTGGAAGGTTCTTCACGCTGTCTTGCCGTTGTCGTTATCGACTAATAAACCTCGTCACATTACACACACACACACACACACACACACCCTTGCTTAGTAAACATCACACACACATAAATGATGTGGAAGTTTCATGCTATGTAAGGTATACTTGAACTTTATAGTACAGCACTTTGAATGCTAGCAGAATGTGGCTGTAATAAATTAATACAGTTATGTAACACCTGAGATAATCAAGTTGCATTACAAGGCTTTTTTATATACAATGGTAAAAATATTTTCTTCACCCTTGCTTAGTAAACATCATAAAGCAATGTAGTAAATTGATATATCCAACTTACTATAAAATCTTTTTCTCTCGTTGTCACATCAGTCAGGTGAACTATAGGCACATATTCTCGTCGAGAGTTCAGTCTGCGTAAGAGATAAAAAAAAACGGCTATTACAACTTAATCAGTCTGTCACTGTACAAATTTAAGAACAGTCTTACTTGAATCTTACCATCACAACACCCCCCCCCCCCTTCTTTTCCTTTCTTTAGATATAACTATTATTGGTTATGGAAACTGAATTTTCTTGGAACTGTAATGTCATAAATAACAGATTTGACTAAATGTATGGCAATAAAATTGGGGATTATAAAAGCCAAAAGAAGTTGATAATGTAAATATAATCAACAACAGCAATGTATAACAGAAAAAAGCACTTTTTCACTAACAATACATAAAGGATTGATCAGTAATGAAGTTGACAAAATGATCAAAGCTGTAACATTCTCAAGGGTAATGGCAAGCCAGAAAGAGATTACAAGGCAAATGCATGTAATTTCCAGAGTACACAAGTAATCCTCAACCAAAAAAGTACTGGACAACTTTAGGCGTATATCACTAGCGTTGCAAAGAATGCGGTGCAAAAAAGAAATCACACTTGAGGGGAGATGCAATTAAAAAAAATATTTCTTGAATCTGTAGACTAAACCACTCAAATGTTTTACCGTACATATTGGCTTTTACCCCGATTTCAAATGTGTAATTAATTTTGGAGTAAGTTACACAGTTTTTCTTTCGTGCCACGACAATGTGTAATATAGTTCATTTTGAACAAACTCTTTATGCCACAAAACTTCTATGGTTCTGAGCCATCAATGGTTCATATTGCTCCACATTAAGTGTAGAATTCAAGTAACTATAAAAAAACTGTATATAGGACATTTTATAGGGATAAGAAAAATTGAAATGTGAGAATTGTTAGAATCGTCAGCCCATACTAATTGCTTGCTTTAGCTTCATGATTGATTATACAAGCTATATCAAGTTTTGAAGAAAACACTTGCACCCTTCCCATGCTAAGGAATATCCGGGAAAACTTTCATTTCGATCTGGCTATCAGAAGTACCAAAATTATGATGTTTAATCTCAAGAAGTTGCCCAGAAATGAATCTTAAGAAAAACGCATTTTAAATGTTTAAGTGTAAGCTCATCTATGGGGAAAAATATGTTATTTAAAATGATTTCATTCACCATGACAGCTTGACATTCATAGTGATTCTGAGCATGTGGCTTTAGTGAACTCCTCTTGCGAAATGCAATGGCAAGCAGCCAGGTGACACTTTCCAGGGGACTCTATACAATGAGCTCTTTTTTTCTTTTAGATTTTGGTAGCCACATTGCAATTTTCTTAAGTGATTTCAGCCTGCTTTGAGTTTAGCTTCAATCTTCAGTTTTCTTGTAGTAAAAGTAGAAAAAACCAAACTTGTGAAAGCAAATAGAAATGAAAAATATGTAATTTTGGAAGAAAATTGCATTTTTCGACTCGCATCTCCCCTTAAACAGTCATGGTAAATAAAAGACGTTGAAATATGTGCTACTACAGATGCAAAAACCTACTTGATTACCAAAGAGAAAATAAAGAAACAACGCAATTCAAACACATCTGCATGAAATCTGCAAGAAATAAGAGTAGTACAAGAGTTCTTTTTTTTCTTTTTGTCAGCCTTGATTCATATTATATATTGTAATGAAACGCTTTTATAGATGTGTAGTAACTGATACATGACCTATAAGCATTTCAAATTTACCCTGAAAATTCCCTTAGTTAAACGTGAGTAGCAGATTTGTAAAAACGAATTGCACATGGTAATTAGTTGAGTAGCAAACTGTACATTTTGGCAGTACTCAATAATTATTCTTCTCAGCAATGACCAGTGTATTTCAACTACTTTTTTAAATTAATTACACGAAACCAGCTTTTTATTGATAACCAAAGGTAAACCAAAAAAACCAAAGGTAAACCAAAGGTACACCAGCTTTAAAGAACCATTCACCAGATCTGGACAATTATAAACTAGGTCATAGTGATCATGTATGCCAATTATAAAACATATGCATGGTGAAAAAAAATTAAAATTTAAAACAGAAGGCCATAGACCCTTCTTTAATGGGAGTTGCTCTTCTTGAGAGAGTCAAAGACCACCCACACATATGCCTACATAAAATTCAATGCTTACAACTAGCACGGCTAATTTGGAGTCACGCACACCTAAATCTGGCATGAAATGGCACATGAATTTGCTCTTCACTCAAGGTAAAACATGTAATGTCACTGCTGCTTGTGCACCGCAAAGCAAAAAACGAAAAGAAAGAAAGAAAGAAAAAGAGATGGCACTCATAGGTCAACATAATATGCTTCCACTCCTCTGGAAGCTGAGAGTACACAGGACAGTTATGCCACTTGGAAATGATACCAGTAGCAAAGGGGTATTGAAAGCTTTGGCAGTGAAGCTCAGCTAGTGAAGGAATGAGAACAGTTTAATTTCTTTTAGCATGTCCAATGATGAATCCAATCTGAAATGTTCTTCCGATAGAATACTTCACAATCAGCACACTAAAACTTCTAAAGATAAAACAGATGTTGCAATGGGGCTTGGTGAGGACCCATTTGGATGTGGTTGGAGCTGTAGAAAATAGTCTGCAGAAAAAAAATCTCAGGAGCGCTCCATATTTAACTTGATAATGCAAAATAAGGGTGTGATATACTTGACTGTTTCTGATTACTCTATACAGTAATGTTTTTTCTTTGAATTAAAGAATCAACAACATACTGGATACTGAGAATTTATTTTATGAAAGAACACTCTGAATATGCCTACATGGTTATCAGCAAAAGTGGTAAATGGACGCCGCCACATACAACAGTGCTTCAATACTAAAGATTGGCACTGTCGCCAATGCATAAGCCCAAGACTAAAAGGCAAATGCAAGGTTCTTTTGCTCCTCAATCGATTGTATTGCCGCATGAAACATGAAATCACTAAGCCGGGCTCAGAAAACCAACTTCATCTGACATTCCTGCCTGTTCGCTTAATCAAGATAAACATGAAATCAAATGCCTTAACAGTTATCTTTCACGTAGACCCCCACGCATGCCAGAATGCATATATATATTGCATGGGCACGTGCAGATAAGTTTTCATGCCTTCTTTCTTTTCCGCCGTTGTGTGTATCTTTTGTGGTGCACCCACTTTCTTTTTATGTTTGTGTTTGCATGCCCTGTCTTTTAGAATCAGCCCAGATGTGCTGGTGGAAAAAATTACGAAAAAAGCTCTTGGATGAAGATCCATGGATAATGTATGTCTGTGGAAAAGCGTCACCGTATTCCCACCATTCCCGTGCTCTTCCATGGTCAGAAGCACGGAAAACTTGATATTGCTCTATATCTCTTGGTTTCCCAGATTTCATTCCGCAGTGCCCGGAAACAGAAATGAGACACATTCTAGTGAGACGTGTGTAGTTACTACTGCACATTGCTTTAACTACGTGCCGTGAGGCTTCTGAAACGAGCTATCACCAGCCTTTCTGGAACAAACGATGTCCACCAATGCATCGCAGAAACACTTCCTCGCTATCAAGCCTCCACGGAAGATGCATTTTGCAGTCGAGTTGAATCACACAATGGAAGCTACGTCGGCACTGGTCAGAGCGCCATAAACTGAGACGCATGCGCAAGACTGTTCATTCAACAGAATAATTATTGGTCCGTAGTTGTGACTTTGGCAACCTCAAGATCAAGCTGTACATGAAGTTTTATAGCGGTGTGATTGTCGGTGATATACGCACCAAAACCAGAGACTCTGGCATAGTTTGGCACAATTTACATTGATTTTATCATGATGGTGTAACAAATTCAATGTGGCGCACTTAGGCACAGTTGACGCAAGAGTGGAATCACTGAAAGGACAACCAATGAACGTTTGCTTATCTCTGAAGTGGTCTGACAAACGTGTAGTTAGCTTAATCCTTCCTACTTAGTGGTGCTAGTACATGTCAGCAAAAGTAATCTGTAAGTGAGAAAATACGTTGGAGGTGATGGAGAAATATTTTGCGAAAAATGTCACATGAACTTGTGCAACAAGTATAAGCTCGTTACAACGAATCTACTTACAACAGACATTTGGCTACTACATACCAGTTGGCGGCTTTTATGCTGACCTCTCTATTTGTTCCATTGGTTGAGCTTTGTTTACATTGGAGTCTGGCACAACGGACATTCGAATATATTTGAATAAAATGTGAGGGCTGCAAGGTGATCAGGACTCCTTTACAGCAGACTTTTCTGCCACAGACATCCCAAATCCTATAACTTCCGACTTCAAACATGGCTTGCCCTACTTTCGGTACAGGTATAGTGCCGCGGACATGAGCGTACCGATTCAAGAATGAAGGTAGCTGATATCCAGTCTGTTAATGATTAATTACGCCAAGCTACGGCGACAAGAAAATCGGTGCACAGCATGCTTGGTTTTACATGTTGGGGCGCCGATGTGCAAAATTGCTAGCCACTGCCACCGTTGTTCTGAGCGGTTAGTGCGTGGCCCGCTTAGCCGGGGTCCGCTCCCGAAGCACAAGATGCCTATTCACGGTTCTAAGGAGCCAGCGACCGATGTGATTCGTTGCTTGTAAAAAGCACATTACGGCTTTTTCGCTTTCGCATACGCGCTAGCGGGACGCTCTTGCCCGCCAAGTTCGGGGCAGAGTAGGGCCTAGACACAACTTCGAGCAGAAAGCGCGGCTGCGATGTGCATGGTCGCAGTGCTTGGTGTTTCTAAGTACGACATGCTCGATCGTGAGTACAAAGATTTCTTGTGCGGTGGTCTTCGTCACTAGGTCCGAAGCGCTGATAAGCGAAACCTTTCTGCAACGAGTCAGCACTGTAACAGTTGGTTCGAGACGTGCATGTGCGATATTCGCGACGAGTGCGGCGGGCAATCGTAATCTGAATTTCTGCTTGCAGCTGACTTAATTAAGGCGTATTGTATCCTAGATTATCGTCTACTCTTGAACACAGAATGAGTGCCAAAACGTCACTAAGTGGGGCGATTTTATACAGCTATGACCTTGCGATGCACAAGAAGCAGACACCATCCCAGAAGCGTATTGCGAAACGAGCATCGAACCAGCGAGGTGTACTGGGCCAACATGGCAGAAGCAGCCAATCGTCGGTCTCGAAATGAATGTCAAACATCTGTTTTTTGATTGAACATGGAATGCTCTTAACGAAATGCTTTTATTTTTATAACCAGCTCAAAATAGTGGTGGGCAGTTGTGCCGTTGCGAAGCTATAAATTTTTGAAAAAATGCCGTTTCTTTCTATTTTTTTTTTACTGTCACAATGACAAACAAATTTTATAAAAACAAAGCTAAAAAAGATGATTTTAAAAAGATGGCTTTTCACAAAAACTAAGAATTACAAAAAAAAAAAGGTGTGCATCGAAACCATGAGCAGAAAAGGAATAGTTCCATTCACTATTAGTTTTCTCTCCTATACTGTTACTAAACAAATAGTGCCCAACTAGTACACTTGAATTATATTTATAGTACATGCTTTCTTGTATCTGGTGTGCTTAGATGAACATGGAATCATTCAGTGCAACAGTGGGTTGCCAGCTATTGCGCTCAGCATATAGTGCAAGAAAGAGGCATTCAATTTACAGCTGTAGCGGCCATGTTTTCATCAATGTCGATCACAGAAATACCTGTGAGCATTGATGCCAGCAAAAAATTTCAAAAACACGGTTGGTCAAAACTAACCTGTAGTGCCCCGTTGTAGGGTTTCTAAACATTCCAAGTGTCATAGTTGATACACCAGATATAATTCATAAGCTTTGATTGTGTAGTACATAAACAGAAAGAATTAGACTTACTGAAGCAAGTGGGCTATCTCACCAGGAATTTGGTTTGATTTGATAGGGAATGGGTCACTCAGGATGTTCACTTCAACCCTGGGGTTCCAATGGGTAACTGGCTTTCCTTCTACCCCTCCAGCAGAAGGAGGTGTCTGAGGAGTAAAGGAAAAACATAGCTATACTCTCACTGTCCAGACCACAGATTATGCATGGGATACAGACTTAAGCATTAAAATAAAGTAGTATGTATCGTTGCCTTTGAAGAATTTTCAAAAAGCAAAAGCAGTAAGACAAGAGTTAATATATTATACAGAGGAACAGCTTTGTAAGAACTTCATATTAGGGAGACGTTTTTGACTCTTATATGAGAGACCTCTCATAAGCAGAATAACATGTTTACACTTTCTGACCCCCCATATTTCCATTTAGGCGTGCTACGAATAAAATAAACACTAAGAGAAGCCTTGTAACAAAAGGTGCCACTTGTTCAATGTTATGCAATTTACTCAATGGACTGCCACATAGCACAACTCTCCTCAGTACCTGGCTATAGCAGCTCTTTCTTAAAAGCATGCATGATGGCCTGTTTGTGTCAGTGAATATGAGGCTAATCGATTTGATTAGATTTACAGGTAGATCTGTCTTTAGTGGAATGCCGTGTAAGGGGGTGTCCGGGTAGTGAATGCCGTGTAAGGGGTAGTAGCGTGGGGGAGGGGAGAGTTGAATCAAGATTCAATAATTGGTGGCGACAGAAACTTGTACGTCGAGTTTTGAAAAAAAAAATGTTTTCCAGAAAGGGCGAATTATTCAACGGATAGCAGCATGTCGAAGTCTTATTTATTTATAAATAACGCTGTCTCAGTTTTCGAGACATAGCAGGTGTAAATACTGTGGGCATTTAATATACTTATCTTTTTCATCTGTACATTATCATCACCATCATGTATTGATCATGCATTGTCATCATTCTCGTGTATGAACATCACTCTTGGTTCAGGGTAGCTGTCGGCTGCTGGGTCCTCGGGCCTAATTAAAGGTCATCAAAACCACGACCTCATACATGGTGGAGGGTGCTCTTTGATCCCCCTTTGTCATCTCGGCCTTTCTACCTCCTGGAGCTATGTTCAGGTCGGCGCTTGGGCCAGGTGTTCGGAAAGGTGTTCGGAAATATGTCACAGCAGGATGAGGTCGGTGCTGCAGCCGTTCCCACTTGGCCACCCCGTGCCACACCTTTTCACATCCTTCAGAGCAAGAACCACCAGCGTGAGCCCCATCCCTTCGCTGGTATGCATGGGGAAGATGTGCAAGATTAGCTGGACGATTTCAAACGTGTCTGCCTTGCTAATCGGTGGGATAACACAAACTCGCTCACATTTCCTTCTACCTTACGGGTGTCATGAAGACATGGTTCTTCAGCCATCTGATTGACATCCCCGACTGGGCAGCCTTCAAAGACCAGCTTTGCCAAATGTTTGGCACACTGGCTGTTCGTTCGGCTCTCGCAAAGAAAGCTCTCGCGGCTCGGAAACAACATATCAGCGAGTCGCATACATTCTACATCGAGGATGTTCTTGCACTTTGCCGTCGGGTCGATTCATCAATGCCAGAGTGACATGTTGAACGCCCCTTCGCTTCGCCGGCTTAGTAAAGGCATAGCTCTTGCTTCCGGTGTCATTCGCTTCCACAATAGAGCAGCTGTTATCGCCACTACAAATAAGGTTTTACTTCTGTAGGGCACCACTGAGGCCAGCGTTGCCAACCTGGAGCCTGTATGGCTCGTGCCTCTTACACCTGTCTCCTCTAAAGGCCATTCTGCTGATCATGTTTCTACCTCCGCCCTCACAGCAGTCATCCGCAGTGACCTGACAGATTCGCAGAAACAGCAGCTGCTTGATTTGCTGGAAAAGCATGCAAAACGTATTGATGCCTATTCGTCCACCTTGGACCAAACTACCGCCATAGTCCATCGATTCAGACCGACCGAACGTCTATTGTGCAGTGCCGCTCGTACCGTGTGTTTTCAGCTGAGCGAAAAATCATAGAAGAGAACGTAGCCGACATGCTGCAAAGAGAGATAATTCCCCCTCAGCTAGTCCTTGGTCGTCTGCCGTTGTTCTGGTGTGAAAGAAAGATAGCTTTGTACAGTTTTGCGTCGATTACCGAGCGCTCAATAAGATCACTAGAAACGACGTATATTCCATGACACGCATAGGCGACGCCATTGATTCTTTGCAAGCTGCGGAATTCTTTTCAAGCCTCGACCTGCGTTATGGTTACTGGGAGATCCCTATGCACAAAGAAGACAAAGAAAAAACAGCTTTTGCATCCCCGGATGGCTTATACGAATTCAATGTAATACTTTTCAGCCTATGCGATGCGCCCGCGACTTCAAAGCGCATGATTGATACCGTGTTGCGTGGCCTGAAATGGAAGACTTGCCCTTGCTACCTAGATGACATTGTGGCCTTTACATCGACATTCGCTCAACACCTGCGACGGTTGGATGAAGTTCTGGTGTAAAATGTTCAGCACCTTGAGAAATTCCAATTTAACAATGTTTATCTTTACGTGATTATTTTTTTCCAATTGCATCAAGCTCATTCCAAAAATGCACATTGCGCAGAAAAGCAAAAAAGAAACAAAAGAAAATGAAAACAATTCTGTGTTGATCTAATGGGCACAATATTTAGAGGTTCAAACTACCGTGCGAACAAGATGATATGGGTGCTAGAACACTCGAACTAATGTGAACTATCATGCAGGAAGATGACAGGACCACAAGTGCGCCGAGAGGGGCTGCCACGATAAAACATGCAGATCCGAAGCAGGCGAGACACACTGGTTATAGCGACTGAATATAAGCAGTATTGCTTTTCTAAAACAGATTCTAACACAGTTAAGCCATGTATGTAGTGAGGCCAAGGAGATTATATAACTTCCTTGGGTGAGGCGATCAAACAACCATCGCATATTCGAGTCTGACCAAAGTCTTATGCCCTGTCAGTCAGCATTCCTTTGTCGTGTTGCTTAACGTGCATCGGAGGCACTATAGTTTTCGAAGAGCTTGTTGCAGATTGTTTCGATGAGCGTGTGCCATTTGAAGTTTGCTGTGATAGTTACACAAATGTATTTAAACTGCACGACTTCTACTGGACTTACACCATCATTAGTAAATGTAAAATGAAGAGGCTGTTTCTTTTAGAAAAGGTCGTGACTACAGTCTTCTTGAAGCTTGCCATGTTTCACTCCCGCTACAAAACGACGAAAAAGAAAGCACTATTTAACGCATCCTAATCTTAAGTATTAGAGATGGTTCTACAGTTCTCCATACATTTTAAGTTTAATTTGAGTATCAACGATAATTTTTTCTCGGTCATTTATATAATAAACAAAAGCGGAACTAGCACCCAGCCTGAGGCACCTTCCTGATGTGATATGTACAGGCTGTTTCATACTTAGGGAAAATCTCTGAGCGCCTGGCATTACAATGCGACTAGCGCGTCAATCGCATGCCGGCAGCAGCTCACGAGTGCACAGATGCTTCAATGGTGTGGAACTGAATGGCATCGTCTGCTACGGCAAGGCACGTGCCACATTGTTGGCCAGCGCACAGATATCATTGTTAAGGTGAGAACTGGGCTAATACTCGCACTAATCATTTTCAGAAAAACCTGCGTTGCAACATGACATACGAAGAAACGAGTAATGACAAACTCACACATTCTTTCTTTCTTCGTGTCCTCTTTTGCTGCATAGTTTTTTTAGATATTCGTAAAAACTTTCCATGCTTCTCTGCCCTCTTTATTAGTGATAATGGAACACTAGAAACAGTACTTGACAGCATACCTTGTTTACTCTATCTAAACATTGTGGCCCTGTGTGCATTCACAAATGTTTCTGCATAGTGCCCGCCGCAGTAAGCTTGGATGAGGATGACACGATAATGAGCATGCACCGTGCGTGGTCTCTATTTGACTTTAAATAAAACAAAGCACTCAGTGGTGACTGTGGAACAGCTAAGGGGGTTTAACACAACAAAACAAATGGGAATGAATTCAGGAATAATTTTGGATAAACAACCACCTGAATGTGCTTATTCTCGACGATATTTGTTGACAACAGAAAGGAATAGCTTTCGACGCCAAAATGCACTCGTGACGCTTCCTAGTTCATGTCGCCAGCGGTAGCGATGATAGCACTCCTTCTAGACGGAAGTGAATGCATGATGTCAGCGATGTGTTCCGCTGCAGCGTGCCCCATTCATCGACTATGGGGGCGTGGCATGACGAGATCCAGATTGAGCTGAATTAAACAGGTGCTAGTCTGTTTATTCACGATATTCACGTGCTGGCCAGCAATGCTGCAAGCAAGAGCTGTCGTAGCAAACGATGCGGTTGAAAACTACACTCTTGGATTACTTGCACACGCGCGAGCTGCTGACAGTGCTTCGTTGCAGTGCTATCCGCATCACGATGCCACGCGCTTAGAGATTTACCTTAAGTGTGAAACAGCCTGCACATCAGAAGACTTCGTGTAGTTAACTGTAAGAAATTTTGAGCATGACAGCAAGTAATCTGCTATCCAATCAACCAGCTTGTTCTCGCCAAAACATTTGTGAAAAATTCTTTAGCATGGCAAACAATGTTAAAGGCCTACGAATAGTCAAATGTGACACCAACGTGTTTACTGTTGTTAAGGTAAGAAGCAATGTCATGCGTAAATTGAAGCAACCGTCTAACAGTAGTAATTAAAGCAACTGTGTAACGGTAGAATAGCCAGCATGAAAGCCTTGCTGTGATCGGGAAAGTATATTGTGTGCATTTAGCTATTCTACAATGTACTTCTTAATAATATGCTCTAAATGTTTAGAGCTGGTAGTAGGCAAAAATATTGACTTATAATTCGGTATTTGCTGGTTTTGGACTTAAATGCTGGTGCGATGTTTGCTAATTTCCACAGCTGGGGAACTGCTGCAGAGATTATAGATTTTTCAAATATTATAGTAAAATAGCTCACCATGCTGAATACCACTTTAGGAACACATTTGGAATACTATCTGGATTAAACAATTTCGAAACCTAAAGGTTTAGGGTAAGACTGTGTACTCCAGAGGAGCTAAATTTAAAATTAGAAAAAGCATGTAGGTTGCTGT